TTCCCGTTGATTTTTGTCTCTATTTTTTGTCGCTCGTTTGTATGGTTTAGGGGCCTCAATTTTACTTCTCAGAGTGGAGAGCCATAGTTTTCTCAGAGAGATATTTCTCTCAACTCAGGGTATATGTTTGAGATAGAAAAAAAACATAAACTCTCTCTTCTACTCTCTTAACTATTATAAACACCAAACACAAATTTTTTCAAAGAGAAATTACACCTATAACCCAGCAAACATTGTACAAGCAAAAACAATCCTACAAAAATTTTTCTATGGAAAAATCCTCAAGGAATTGAGAAAATGTTTTCAATAGAAAGGAGAGGAGATTTTTTAGATGCGAAAATCCCCTGTCCTCAGGAACCTGTGGAGATAGTTCTCGATACAAAAAAACGTTCTCAGGAACCCGTTCTGAAGAAAACCTGTCCTAGTGACCTAAAGAGAATTTTTTCTATACGAAAAAACCAGCCCTCAGGGACCTGAGGCGAATTTTTTCTATACGAAAAAACCAGCCCTCAGGGACCTGAGGCGAATTTTTTCTATACGAAAAAACCAGCCCTCAGGGACCTGAGGCGAATTTTTTCTATACGAAAAACCAGCCCTCAGGGATCTGAGGCGAATTTTTCTATACGAAAAAAACGAGCCCTCAGGGACCTGAGGCGAATTTTTTTCTATACGAAAAAACCAGCCCTCAGGGATCTGAGGCGAATTTTTTCTATACGAAAAAACCCGGCCTCAGGGACCTGAGGCGAATTTTTCTATACGAAAAAACCCGGCCTCAGGGACCTGAGGCGAATTTGTTCTATACGAAAAAACCCGGCCTCAGGGACCTGAGGCGAATTTTTCTATACGAAAAAACCCGGCCTCAGGGACCTGAGGCGAATTTTTCTATACGAAAAAAACCCGGCCTCAGGGACCTGAGGCGAATTTTTTCTATACGAAAAAACCCGGCCTCAGGGACCTGAGGCGAATTTTTTCTATACGAAAAAAACCCGGCCTCAGGGACCTGAGGCGAATTTTTTCTATACGAAAAAACCCGGCCTCAGGGACCTGAGGCGAATTTTTTCTATACGAAAAAAACCGGGTCTCAGGGACCTGAGGCGAATTTTTCTATACAAAAAAACCGGGCCTCAGGGACCTGAGGCGAATTTTTTCTATACGAAAAAACCATGCTCAGGCGACCTGAGGCAATTTTTTTCTATACGAAAAACCAGTCCTCAGGGACCTGAGGCGAATTTTTTCTATACGAAAAAACCAGGCCTCAGGGACCTGAGGCGAATTTTTTCTATACGAAAAAAACCGGTCACAGGGACCTGAGGCAATTTTTTTCTATACGAAAAAACCATGCTCAGACGACCTGAGGCAAATTTTTTCTGTACGAAAAAACCATGCTCAGGCAACCTGAGGCAAATTTTCTCTATACGAAAAAACCATGCTCAAGCGACCTGAGGCGATTTTTTTCTATACAAAAAAACCATGCTCAGGCGACCTGAGGAAAATTTTTTCTATAACGAAGGAAAACCCGTTCTCAGGGACCAGAAACGTTTTTTTATACAAAAAAATACCGTCCACAGAGACCTGAGGCGATTTTTTTATACGGACATGAGGAGAATTTTTTCTGTACAAAAAACCCGTCCTCAAGGACTGTGCAGAATTTTTTCCATGCCAAAAAAATTGTCCTTTAGGACCTGAGGCGAATTTTTTCTATACGAAAACCCAGGCCTCAGGGACCCGAGGCGAATGTTTTCTCAGGGACCTGAAACGAATTTTTCTATACGGAAAAACCTGTCCTCAGTAACCTGAGGAGATTTTTTTCTATTCGAAGAAAACGATTCTTGGATCTGAAGATTGCCTTGTATAAATCTTTTTATACCCTCAGCCATATGGCTAGAGAGGGTATTTATCATTTAATAGGTCAAAACGTGCCTAATCGAAATAACGGGTTTAGACAATAGGTCTCGTTGGACAAAATCCGTTTCAGGATATTTAGAGTCCATCTAGCGATGTCCGTCTGTCCATCTGTCTGTGTGCCCGCCTGGTGCGCACGATATCTCTCGAAGAGAGTATCCGATTTAATCCAACCTTGGTACATCGTAATATTATTGTCAAACTTAGATCGAGTTCGGAAATGAGCAATATCGGTCCACTCCTTCTGGCACTTCCGCCACAAAAGGGCAAAATTTTCAAAGAAAATAAGAAAAAGGATAATCCGATTTTGTTTCAACTTTGCAAATCCTATGTATTTGCTTCAGTGCTAGGTCAGGTGCGAAAATGGGCAATATCGGTCCACTCTATCAAGTACCTACCCCACAAGGGTTAAAAATTTTGAATAATTATAACTCTTATAAAATGTGATGTAAGAATCCGATTGTCTTCAAATTACATATATCCCAATATTTTTATAAGCCCAAGATCTGCTGTGGAGATGAGATATATCGGTGCACTCCTCCTGGTACCTGCCCCACAAAGGGTCAACATTTTGAGAATCCATGGAGCTCATATAACGCGAAATTATCATCCGATACCATTCAGACTTGGCACATCTCAATATTTCCATCAACGCAAGCTCTGTTATAAAGATGGTAGAGATCGGACCATTCCTACTGGTACCTCCCCCACAAAGGGACAAAGTTTTGAATAACCAAAACGATCATAAAATGCGAAATAAGCATCCCGTTCTCTTCAAATTACACACAGCACAATATTTTTATTAATCCAAGGTCTGGTGTAAAATTGACATATACCGGTCCACTCCTTCTGGTACCTCCCGCACAAAGAGTCAACATTTTGAATAATTACAACTTTTTTAAAAAATGTGATGTAAGTGTCCGATTGTCTTCCAATTACATACAGCACAATATTTTTTTAACCCAAGGTCTGGTGTAAAATTGACATATATCGGCCCACTCCTGAAATCCGCAAAGAATTTTTTAGATAATTTTTTTTAAAAGACCTTCAAGACCATTTTCTTAGAGTTTTAAGGAAAGTTTCAAAAAGACCTTCAAAGAATTTTTTCAGACGATTTTTTTAAAGACCTTCAAAGACATTTCTGAAAGATTTCTGAAGAATTTTAAGAACCTTCAACTGCGAATTTTGAAAGCTTCCCAACTGATCTTTTAGAAAATTCTTTTCAAATGACCCTCAAAGTAATTGTCGTAGAGTTTTGAAAAAAGCTTCTCTAAAGGACCTTCAAAGAATTTTTGCTAAGGGGCTGCCAAAGGGATTTTAGAAGATTTTTCTGAAGGACATCCAGAAACAAGAATAAGGTTTTTTAAGCAAAGGATATAGAAAAATATTAAAGAATTTTCGAAGACATATGAATGGACATTCATAGGTTTCTTAGACGATTTTTCAAAAGTACCTCTAGAAACAAGAATATAGATTTTCTTAAGGACATCAAAAGAATTTAAAGATAATTTTATAAAGGACATTCGAAGACATGTGAGTGGATATTGATATTTTTTTTCTAAAGGACCTTCGAAGGTTTTTAAATTTTTTTTTTCTAAAGGACCTTTTTTCTAAAGAATTTTTTAAAAGAAAACCTACAAAGAATTAAAAAAAGGATCTTTTATAGAATTTTTCTAAAGGACCTTTAAAATATTCTTTTTTTGAAAAATTGTTTGAAGGACTTGCATATAACATGAGCCTGGACATGAGAAGATTTTTTCCAAATTATCTGTGGGCTTTAAGGAGAACAAAATGATCTTCAAAGGGTTTTAATGATTTTTTCTAAAAGAACCATCAAAAGAATTTTTTGGAAAAAATGTTAAAGGACACCCAAAGGCGTATGCGAGGACTTAAATTTTTTTTTCCAAATTATCTTCAGAGGCAATATTTCCTTTAACACAAGATCTGTTATAAAGATGGTAGAGATCGAACCATTCCTACTGGTACCTCACCCACATAGGGTTCAAGATTTTTGACAAACAAACGCTCAAAGAATGTAAAATAAGCATCCAACTCTCCTCAAATTTCACACACACACACACAAATATTTTAATATTTGTTGTGAAGGTGATATATACATATCTGCCAACCCTTTCTGGTACCTCACCCCCAAAGGGTCACAATTTCCAATACTTTACAATTTGATATATATATATATATATATATATATATATATATATATATATATATATATATATATATATATATATATATATATATATATATATATATATATATATATATATATATCTATATATATATATATAATATATTATATATCTATATATATAATATTATATATATATATATATATATAGATATATATATATATATATATATATATAGCTTATATATATATATATACCATATTTATGTAGATATATATATATATATATATATATATATAATATATATTATATATATATATATATATATATAATATATATATATATATAATATATCTATATATATATATATATATATATCTATATATTATATTATATCTATTATAGTATATATATATATATATATATATATATATATATATATATATATATATATATATATATATAATATATATATATATATATATATATATATATATATATATATAAAAATATTTTTCTTCATCAGAAATCTGGTATGAATAAGTTTTTTTTTTTTTTTTGAAATTTAAGATTTCGCATAAAAATAGATAAAACTGTTCGATTCTCTTCAAAATTTGCACCGACCAATATTTTTATATATATTAGATGAAGTATGAAAATGAAATACTGTGGTCCTCTATATCTGTTATCTCACGTATATTTCCACATTTTCCAAAAAATCTGCACATATCTCACATAAAGTATAGGAAGTCGTCGATATAGTCCAGATCTGGCACGGTGTAAAATTTTTTAGTCTTAGGTCAGATATGAATTGGTTAATATTGGCCAACTGCTTCGGAACCTCCACCATACAGGATCAACAATTTGAATAATCATAACTCAAGGCTGGAGGTATAAATCTGTCCGATTTATACTATTTTACTTGTTTTGATTCAGAAGACCAATTACCAATTTTAAATTAATATTTCTTTTATTTAAACGTAAGTCCTAAGGTTAATGGAAACAGCTTAACAATGACTTATTTTAATGACTAAAAGCAAATTATTCTTCATTGGGCATAAAATGAAAAATGAACACAATTCAAAGTATAGTTCTACAAAACCTAACTAAAATTCACACAAGGTCAAAGGGGGAGTAAAGCATATCACAACTAGGCCGAAGCACTGGTGCAGTAGTGTGGAAGGCTGCTTAGAAAAGATAATGAAAATATTCATCAAAATACTCATTTAGAGCTGGCTCCTCATCACTTTCAGCGCGGTGGTGCAGGGCAATTTTGTGGGCATTGCTATAGAGATCATTGACATCAACATCGTCATCTGGAATAAAGAAAAAAAAAAATTATTAAGGATATTTAAAAATAGGTATTTTAAGCTTAAACCCCGTTACCTTTGTATTTTTGTTTGCGGCCTCGTCGATTCTTCGACAGCACTGCCTCATCGAGCATATCGATTTGAGAATTTTTACTTTCTTGCGAGTAGCGTACGGGCGGTGCAAGGAACCAATAATCATTCATGATCGTCTTTAGGCCCGGCAATTGTCTTAGCTCTTCCATGGCTTTGGGTTGTTTCGAAACAGCTCGAAAAGCTCTCAGCTGTAGGCATTCATGTTGGGAGGTGGCATTGATGAGACGTATTGATGATTTAGCTGCTGTTGAACAGATCATGGGATATAATTTAACACTGGGATCGGTGGGTATGTTAGTGAAAGCTACACCAAGGGAACGACGATTTAAAAAGAATTCCAACTGTCCTCGTGTTCGATCCAACAGGACTCCTACTATACAGCCCTGAGAGAATTTTTGTCCATACGGCAATTGATAGCCGTTGTGATGGATTTTACCCTCGTAGGAGAAGCCCCACGATTGGGCATTTGTTCCCAAGGCCGAAACGAAATGGAATTTGAATTGGGTTAAATCGACCTTGTCCGTGCCCACGCCGAACATCTGAAAGAGAGAGGGAGAGAGGGATTAAATAAATGAATGAATAAATAATAAGTTAATTAAAATATTTATCAACATTAAATTAATTTAACTAAATTAAAAACAAGTTAAGAAGTATCAGTCGATTTTGCCGACAGATGTATACCCTCAGCCAATAATCGATTATTTAAAAATATATTTTGACCACTGTTATGATTATTTAAACCGTTGACCCTCTATGGAATGGGTTCTGAATGGGCCAATATTATCAATTTCGTATCGGACCTAAATAAATATTGCGACGTTCCAGGTTAGGATTATATCGACTACTTCCTTCACTTTATATGAGATATGTGATAATTTTCAAAAAATGTTGAAATCTGCGTGAGGTACCAGATATAGTCGACCGAAGTATTCCATTTTTACACTTCTTCTAATCTAATGTTTCTATGTGTGAAAATTTCAAGAGAGTTCGACGATTATTTCGCTTTCTTTGAGCGTTTTTTTTTTTTTCAAAATCTTGAACCCTATATTGGGGAGGTACCAGAAGAAAAGGCCCAATCTCTTCCATTTTCATAACATATGTTGTGTTCATAGAAATATTGAGATGTGCCAAGTCTGAATGGAATCAGAAGTTAATTTCGCGTTTTATGAGCTTCATGGATATTCAAAATTGTGACCCTTTGTGGGGGAGTTACCAGAAGAAGTGGACCGATATATCCTATCTTCACACCAAACCTTGAGCTAATAAAAATATTTTGATTGTGTAATTTTAAGAAACCGGGATGCTTAAACATTTTTGTTATTGAAAACTTTGACCCATTGTGGGGGAGGTACCAGAAGGAATGGTCCGAGCTCTACCATTTTTATAACAGATCTTGTGTTGATGGAAATATTGCAATGTGCCAAATCTGAATGGAAACTGATGTTAATTTTGCGTTTTATAAGCTTCATGGATATTCAAAATTTTGACACTTTGTGGGGGAGTTACCCGAAGAAGTGGACCGATATATCCCATCTTCTCAGCAGGTCTTGTGTTAGTAGAAATAATGGGATGTGTGAAACATGAAGAGAAGCGAATGCATATTTCGGATTTTATAATCGTTTTGGTTATTCAAAATTTTGACCCTTTTGTTATTATTCAAAATTTTGACCCTTTGTGGGGGAGGTACCAGAAGAAGTGGACCGATATATCCGATCTTCCCAGCACATCTTGTGTTAATAAAAATAATGGGATGTGTGAAATATGAAAAGAACCAGATGCTTATTTCGGATTTTATCAACATTTTGGTTATTGAAAACTTTGACCCTTTGTGGGGGAGTTACCCGAAGAAGTGGTCCGATATATCCCATCTTCTCAGCAGGTCTTGTGTTGATGGAAATATTGACATGTGTCAAGTCTGAATGGAAACGGATGTTAATTTTGCATTTTATGAGCTTCATGGTTATTCAAAAATTTGACCCTTTGTGGGGGAGTTACCAGAAGGAGTGGACCGATATACTCCATCTTCACACCATACCTTAGGTTAATAAAAATTTTGTGATGTGTGTAATTTGAAGACAATCGGAAACTTAGATCATATTTTATGAGAGTTATAATTATTCAAAATGTTGACATTTTGTGGGGGAGGTACTTGATAGAGTGGATCGATATTGACCTTACCTAGCACTGATTAAAATATGAAGATTTGCAAAGTTGGAGCAAGATCGGACTATCCTTGCTGTTTCTGTGCAGTAAAATATTTTCTTTGAAAATTTTGACCTTTTGTGGGGGAGGTACCAGAAGGAGTGTACCGATTTTGCCTATCTCCGAACCCGATCTAAGTTTGACCATAATATTACGATGTACCAACTTTGGACCAAATCGGATACTCCCTACGAGAGTTATTGTGTGCACCAGCAAGCCAGATAGACAGACGGACGGGCGGACATCTCAAGATCGGCTCCAAATGTCATGAAACGGATTTGGTCCAAAGAGACCTAGGGTCTAAAAACCATTTTTTCGATGAGGTACGTTTTGGCCGTATCAAAGCTACAGCTACCCATATGGCTGAGGTTATAAAATATATTTTATTATTTCAAAATAAATTAAATGCAGATTTTGAAAGAGAGTATTTTTTTTTTGGTAATTGAGACGATCTGAATTAAAAATTTCATCTGCACATTTTTATTCAGAGGGACCTATGAAAATCTCAATTCATCTGCTCTGAATTTAAAATTTCCAATGGAAATCTCAAATCAGCGACGTTGAATTGAAAATTTGGAATTCTTTATTCAGTCAGGCTGCACCGAAAATTACGTTTGAAAATCCCAAGTCTACCGGACAGAAATGAAAATTTGACTTGGAAGTCCACATTCAGCCGGGCTGTTTAAAATTTTTTTGTGGAATTCTGAATTTAGCCGTTCTGGACATGAATTCCATCCCATAGGGAATGTTCGCTGAAATCATTAGTAATTTAAGTATTTCGGCTCGGCCGAGCTGTTAAAAAAAAATTATTTTGGAAATCTGAGTTTAGCCCTTCTGAAAAATAATCCCATCTCATTGAAATATACACTTCCATTGGCTAAATCGATTACTAATTTCCCTATTTCACTTCGGTCGAAAAAAAATCCACCCCCACAAAAGTATCAATTAAGCCGAACTGCTCAAAAATGTATTGTGTACATCTGAATTTAGCTGTTCTGTATATGAGTTTCCTCCCATAGGAAATATACACTTCCATTGGCTGAATCGATTACTAATTTCCCTATTTCACTTCGGTAGTAAAAAAATCCACCTGTTACAAAATGCAAATTAATGAATAATTTCTCAATTCCAAGAATATTGTGTGAATTTTATCGTACCTTGCCCTCCGATCCAACCCCGTACTGCATATCCACAAATTGGACACATTCATAAATAAAAGAATGATTACTGTTTTGTTTTATTGTTATGTGCTGTTAGTAATGCTTTTGTTGTTGCTGTTCATGACTTTGGACAGCAAATGCAAACCCCTATAGGTACCGAATAAAAACAACAGAAACAACAACAAAAACTGACAGCCACACAATTACGTCCAGTGTTCTCTTATTACAAGTCGGGAGCACGCAGCCAGCGAGTGATCACTTCAAGTGAATGCCGCTCAGTTGTGGCCGCCAGAATATTGGATGGCTGGAAACCCCATAGATGAACGAAATATGAGATGCTCAGATATCATAATTTTTTAAAAAACATAAGAGAATTATGTAAAATGTTTGTGTGGAACCCCCCCTCATATTCAACAATTATTTGCTGAATTTCCATTTTTATTTACGTCTCTTTGAAATTTGAATTTTGAATGAAATTATCTTTAATGAAGAAACTATTTTAAGCGGCACGCTCCACAGGCAGTGAGTGCGATGTCATAAGAGATTTTTTTTTCTCAACGATGTGAAATGGTATTCAGTGGGTTGTTTTATTTTTTGTTTTGATTTTGTATTTGTGTCAACGATCGCCGGCGCCAGTGAGACTGAATTTCTATGGCGCTTATTCAAATATTTGGCACAATTTGTTAAGAGATCAGAGTCCCAATATATGTCGCCAGATACGTCATCATTGGGTCACGTTAAATGACAGTGTGAACTATTTTGAAAAATTTAATGAATTTAATTGGCATGATGGTATTGACTATAATTGGCCGCAGAATTCTTGAATGAAATCGAAAGCGGAAGGGAATTTTTCAATGGATTGAAAAATGAATTGAAATTTTCCTCTAAAAATTCATGCTTAGTGGGACTTAAATGTATGTTCAGCCAGGCAGAATAGTAAGATTCTTATGGAAATCTATACTCAAACTGAATTGAACATTTCCAATAGATATTCATATTTAACTAGGCTTAATGGAAAATTGTCTGTGGAAATACATATTCAGCCTGGCCTGGAATTGAAAATTTGCTCGCAAAATTCAGATGTAGGTGTGCTGTATTGAAAGTTTCTTATGGGCATTCATATTTAGGCATGCAGAATTGAAAATTCCCTAAAGAATTACATGTTTAGCAATGCGGAATTAAAAATGTAATGAATTTTATTGGCATGATGGTATTGACTATAATTAGCCGCAGAATTCTCGAATTAAATTGAAAGCGGAAGGGAATTTTTCAATGGATTGAAAAATTAATTGAAATTTTCCTATGAAGATTCGTGCTTAGTGGGACAGAAATTTAAATTCGATCAGGCAGAATACTAAGAGTCTTATTAAAATACAAACTCAAACAGGCTGTGGAAACATACATATTCAGCCTGGCCTGGAATTGAAAATTTGCTCGCAAAATTCAGATGTAGGTGTGCTGTATTGAAAGTTTCTTATGGGCATTCATATTTAGGCATGCAGAATTGAAAATTCCCTAAAGAATTACATGTTTAGCAATGCGGAATTAAAAATGTAATGAATTTTATTGGCATGATGGTATTGACTATAATTAGCCGCAGAATTCTCGAATTAAATTGAAAGCGGAAGGGAATTTTTCAATGGATTGAAAAATTAATTGAAATTTTCCTATGAAAATTCATGCTTAGTGGGATTTCAATTTAAATTCTATCAAGCTGAATACTAAGAGTCTTATTAAAATACATACTCAAACAGGCTTTGGAAATACATATTCAGCCTGGCCTGGAATTGAAAATATGCTCGTAAAATTCAGATGTAGGTGGGCTGAATTGAAAGTTTCTTATGGACATTCATATTTAGCAATGCGAAATTGAAAATTCCCTAAAGAATTTCATATTCAACTAGGCTAAATCAAATCTCCCCATTTCAGCCAGGCCTTACGGAAAATTTTCCCATGGCAGCTAATTTTCAGTCAGTCTGAACCTAAATATATGCCAGCCTACATTTCACAAGTCACGTCTGCAGCGCTTTCTTGAGGATTAACTTTGTTTTTGTTTTTTATTTGGGGGATGTATTGACTCCATGGGACTTTTTTAATTTCAAGGTTGAGAAATTACCATTCAAATATTTATTACAATGCCCGAACAATTGCAATCTTTGAAGGTTTATTGTTGTGTT